AGATTTGTGAAGGCTCAAACATGGGCCGGCTTGCGTCTTTTTTCCCCGGTAACCTAGCCATCATGTTGCTGCATTTGATTGGCTCAATTGGCACCTATACGTCTTGCGCTAGTCATCAATATTCACGATACGCACGCACACAGAATCTGATGCGATAATTTATCAAATATGAGATTTCATACAAAAATTACAAGTGCAAAGCTAAGTTTACTGAAAATAAATGACATTGCTAGAAAATCGGGAGGCTTATCGTAAACGAATGTCTACCCGGTCGTAACTTGTCCATAATCATTGTGACTACTGGTTTAGTCCAGAATCTGGCCGATTTAAATTTGATCTCCACCGTGCATCGAAACGACGCAAATATGAATATGCATTTTAGAATGGCTAGATTACGGGGGGAAAAGACGCGGCCGGCTTAACACGAAAGAACTTGTTCTGATCTCGCAGTTTGAAAGAAATTTAGAAACCCTTCTAAAAATGAAGAAAGGCTCAATCTAAAACCCTATGGCAATCTTTTGCCTATTTTGTTTTTAAAAAATTAACAAGGACAGTCATACGATAGTAGATGAATTTCTTTATTCATTAATATCCCCCCCCCCTCCTCGTCTCACTAGCATGTATTGTGAGTTGATCAATTACTTGTGTATTAATAACATGATGTATTTTTATTTTGTTTTGCGTTTGCCAAGCAAGGTTGTATTTGCCATATTGTGCCCAACCCGAATCGGGTTGGCCAAGCCAAAGAGCAAAAAAATACGACAAACTGTCCTAATCAGTGTCATTGTATTCAATGAGAGTAGACCGCCATCTCTTTAAAACACAATCTTTTAAAAGGTGTTTTATATAGATGGCGCTCTGCAATCTATAGAATCAGTAATATTTAATTGTTTAAAATTACATGGTTTGATGGTTCGATTTTACTTGACCGCCAAAAAATGCGTGTGTAAGCATTCAGGAACCGGCGACTTTTAAAGTCCTCTCCACAGGACTTGATTATGCTTATTAATGCCTAAACAAAGGGCACTTGCTTATCGATTAAGCTTTGAACCCAGGATATCTCCAAGTTAGGAAACCATTGCTTTCCCATTAAGTGAGCCATCGTATTCGTTCTCATGTGTCTTTCTGCTTAATTGGTTGGCAAAATAAAGCATTTTTTTGAATATTTTTCGATACAAAGTACCTAATAGATATCCATGATATTCCAGAAATGTAAAACATATGACATTAATTGGGCCATCGAATGCGTTTTCACGTGTCTTTCTGCCTATATTTGTTGGCAAATTAAAGTACTTTTTGAATACATTTTGATGCAAAGTACCTATTAGATATCCATGATAATCCAAGAATGTAAAAAAATATGAGAGACCCTGCAAACTTTACCTACCACCTTGAAAACATTGGAAACCATCAATACAACACTATAAATCTTGAAAACTTAAAATACAGCCCTCAAGTCCTGAAAACTTGACACTTAACCATGCGAACCATCGAAAGTTTTGTCGCCAACACTGAAAACCTTGAAAATTTTAGCTTCCCAACACTGAAAACCCTGGAGATTTTTACCTACAACACTGAAAAACGGAATGAAATCTTTACCTACGACGTGGAAAACCTGAACAATTTACAAACAAACCTTAACAAATCTTGAACACCTTATCTACAACACTCAAACCTTAAAAACTAAACCTCAAACACTGCAAATCATTACAATTCTACCTCCAACCATGGAAACCCTAACAAAATATTGAATACAACACGAATACCCAGAAAACTTTACCCGCATCTCTGAAATCTGAAAACGTTACCCACAACCATGGAAACCCTAACAAATTTACCTACAGCCCTGAAAATACCCCCCAAAATCCACCTAAAGCCCTGGAGCAATACCATTTCCATCTTATCCTGTACTACTTCTATCTCTCGTTTTACTTCTCGCTTCATCTCTCTGTCCCACCCCTTTCTCTGTATCCATCTACCCACCAAACTTTGTATTTATCTACCTATCAATCCATCTATATGTCCTTTTCTCTCTTTCCCCTTGTATCTTTCTCTCTTTCCCTTTTGTTTCATGTATCTTTTTGTCTCAGACAAGTGTATGTGTATGTTTTCCCCTGCATATTAGTTCAGTAGTTTAAAGACCGTCAATACTACTGGGCCAGACGGAAATAGACTACACAGCAAGGTCACTGGCATGTGGCTATCTCATTAACTCAGCTCTCAACTAACACAAGAAAAAGAGGATCATGGGGGACCAACGGTCAACGATTGGGGAAGTTTTCTATATAGATGGAGCAAGTAGCTACAAGTAGGACAGTGGGGCTTTAAATCAGTGAACCTACACGCGTCAAGCCTACTTTATAAGTTTCATTTTCAAAACTAATGATTACAGAACACTATTTGTTTATATATATATATATATATATAAATACTTGATTCAGGATTATTTATCTCCATATTGCTTTAACAAATGTAAATGGTTTATCGAATTAATTATGTTTTGTTATGTTTTGCAAGTAATATGAATGAAAGCAAACAATCAGCTAATCCAACAACTAAAGGGAAACCTTTAAAATGTTACCTACAACCATTAAAAAAAAAACCTGGAAACTAAAATTACAACCATGAAAACTTGAACATTTTACCAAAACCCGAATTACCTTGAAAACTCTAGCTAAAACCTGAAAACCCTGAATACTTTACCCACAACCCTTATTACTCTGAAAACCCTGAAAATCTACCTACAATTAAATTTCTCTACCAGGAAATGTATTGTTTATACTGTACTTATGTCACAAAATGTTGATGCTATTTTTATCATATTCTTGGTATTGTATGGGACTGGAAATAACGTTATACCCCGGATTTGTCCATTCACGCCCACTTACAAATGTACATCAGATTTTATAATCATGACAAACTCGTAAACCTGTTTCAATTTCAGTTTCAAACGTTGGCATGACGCCCCAAGAGTCTGCTTTTGTCCAGTACACTTAATACTTTGTACCAACACGCAAAGGCATTGTCCAGCATAAAAGTCGATTTAATTCATTTAATACCGGAACAACAGGCTTTGTGATAATGAAATTATAACCTCATGGTAACTGACATTATGTTTGTGATTGAAACTATGGGAACAAAACCTTTTTATAAAATTAATATCCTTGGTTTGGACGGGTAGTGGTTGCTTTTATTCGCCATTTGTCTAAAAGGTGAAATTCAAAGAAAATCACAAATATGTCAACTAATGTATGACTAGAAACTGGTAATCTAACATTTGGCCGTCGTACAAGTTATAGGTCAACTACATATCGGCTGATTTATACAAAATAAAAATACAACCACCTCCATAACAGCTGGGATATACCAGAGATTCGCCGGAAAAAAAACGATGTTTTAATGACGTCACTATATGGACCAACACTGCCCAAGCAGACGACATCCCATAGAGAATGAACATAATTGCAAAGCTATTATTTGTCAAATTATAATGAGTTTAGTGTATATAAATGTAATGGCATGTCAAACCATTCAAAAGGGGATATGACCCGATTCTGATAACTAAAATATTTTGCTTGTAAATACACAGGATAGGGGGTAATTAATAATCAAAGAAACCAGACTTTCAAATTGAAAACCCCTGGAATGATATTAAGGACGGCATTTGTTCCCTCTTGAAATGCCGAACATTCCCCGGTGTGTGCAGCTGAATATACAATGGCGTCTTATTTTGTTTACAAGCGACAGATTCCTTTATTTTTGTATCGCTGCATTTGTCATCAAAATAAAACCATGAGCGGGGTTAAGAGTGAGGCAATAGATTATACATTTAGCCTGACGGTAGTGAAGTAAGACAAAGAACTCAAGAAAAGATGAAAACACAGGCACTGAAAATGTGTGAGATGTCATGGGGCATCGTCTGCTTGTGCAAGTCATGTCCATACTGTGATCTCACACATCTCAGCAGCGTTCGGAGAGCTCTTCCGGTGCTATGCCGGGGCTGTCTTTAAGCGTTTTGTAAATTATAATAATCATTACTTCGAATGTTTCCAAGCATTGAATTTTGATAACCTTGTCGAATAAAAGTTTCAACTTTGCAATAATGAAAATAAATTTAGTTTTTAAAATCGATGAATATCAACTTAATATTGATTTTCCATTTTGGTGAAACTAATTTTACAATAGCCTGGGACATTCAAACAAAAACAAAGTGTTAAATACTTTACCAGAACGCAACTGACAGATCGAAAAATTCAAAAAATGTAAATGTCCATATCAATTTTCTATTTACAGACGTTCAGAAAAATTATGTTCAAGTCCATTGGTCATGCATGTTATTATGACAAGAACAAAAACACCTGTCACGGTGTGATCAGCTTTCCCACCTTCAACTTCCTCATTGCCGTAGCGTATGGAGAGTGATAGTTGGGACAAGTACACACTCAAGGGTCATGGAGCTCCCAAAAGTTCCCTCGCAGACATATACAAACTCTTTGGGAGAATCCATTTCGGCTCTCCAGCATGAGTTCGACCTTTGAACGAGCGTGATTTCCGTTGGCGTAACTATATTTATTATGAAAGCTATGCTTATTTCTGTGTGCGTCACAGGGCAAATTACCGTTCTTACTTCAAGCTTTCGTCAACAATAGGTCCAATATCTTTACAAATAAACGTCAATGGCAAACATTAGAAAACGTTTTTTTTTTTTAATTCAAGGACAATTTTAGTCATATTATTGCCAAAGTGCAATCATCCGAATCATGTAAAGCGGCATTACCATGCATGTCATTGTAATGTATGGTAAAATATTACATTTAAGGGATTTCATGAATTTGTCGGATTGTTGATGTTGTCATGGCGTCATTCATAATTCTTTTCCTGCTTTGTATACTGGTCACTCTACCCTCTTTTGTTCTCACTGACAACCGTAAGTAGCTTTGCCGTCACTACAGATGGTGATGTTGATCTGCATAATGATTCTGTAAAAGATCTCACAACCTTTAATTACGCACATAAACAATGGTCATGATGGAGCAATTAGTGGGCTCAATCACCCCAAGCTCGAGCATCTCTTTGACTTCGTCGCCAACCACCTGTCGGAGAGCGTGAGGAAGAGGATAGGGCTTGGACTTTACCGGTCGAGGATCTGTCAACTTGATGTCGTGGTGACCCAAACTGGTCACGCTAGGAACATCTGTAAAAACGTCCGAATAATTACCGATAAGTCGCCTCAGCTGATTATTCTGCTCCTCAGAAAGTGTGTCTCCAATGGAGACATCAGCAACTGTCTGAGTCTGTCTCAGGCTGGGGACTTCGATGAGTTGCTCGTTTACCCTCATCTTGGTTGTCGTCTGTGCATCTTCGTCAATTTCTTCAATGACAGATACACCTGCTACTGCTGGATATTTTATTCCAGCATCTGGATTATTATCGTCTCGACGATAATAAGCCTTGAGAAGATTCGCATGGAAAGTAGTTATCCTTGACCCAAGGTCAACTCTGTAGTCGAGTTTACCAACTCTACCTACTACCTTGAAAGGGCCTTTCCAGTGCATCAGTAACTTATTCCTGTCTGTAGGAAATAGTAGTAACACCTCATCTCCAACCTTGAAAGACCTAGCCTTGGCTTTTTTGTTGTACTGCGCTCGATACGCAGACTGCGATTTCGTCAGTTGCTCTTTCACAAGCTGGACTGTATTTTCCAACTTCTCACGCAGATCCATCACATACTGGTATGTGGTTTTTGTCTCAGCATCCGTGCTTTCATCATTTGCCCAAAGTTCCCGCAGGATCATCAAGGGGCCCCTCACTTCTCGTCCATAGAGAAGTTCGAATGGAGAGAATCCTGTGCTGTCGTGAGGTGCTTCGCGATATGCGAAGAGGAGTGCATCTATATATCGATCCCAGTCAGTGGGTCTCTCCTCCGCCATCTTCTTAAGCATCTGTTTAAGCGTCCCGTTAAACTTCTCGACGAGACCATTACAGGCCGGATGATAGGGAGTTGTAGTAAGGTGGCGTACTGACATTAGCCTATTCACTTCTTGCATCACATCTGACACGAACTGTGTCCCACGGTCGGTTAACATCTCACGAGGAAATCCAACTCTGGTGAAGATGCTGAAAAGAGCTTCCGCTACGGACACTGTATCTATGTTCTTAAGTGGAACAGCTTCAGGATACCTTGTCGCGTAGTCCATGAGCGTCAGTATATACCGACAACCTCGTGACGTCATAGGAGCGATAGGGCCAACAATGTCAACAGCCACACGGTGAAATGGCTCATCAATTAAGGGAGTAACCCCCAATGGTACTTTCCTTACCGTACCCTTGTACACGGAGCGCTGGCACACATCACACGACCTACAAAATCGAGATGTGTCCGCTCTTACACCACCCCAGAAGAAATTCTGTAAGATTCTTTCTGCGGTTTTATGTGATCCTAGGTGCCTACCCAATAGACACTCATGTGCAAGCCGCAGAATCTGTCCCCTGAATTTACAAGGAACAACTAGCTGATGGGTGACATCACCTGATGCGGATTGGAACTCGCGATATAACAATCCTTGTTTTCTTCGAAAGAGTGACCGGTTCCCATTTCTAGTCGTCTTGACTACTCCCGATTCGGCTTGCTCTCGTATACGCCCCAACGTTGCGTCATTAGCTTGCTCTTTTCGGAATTCTTCAGCAGTAGCAACGTCAGTCTGCTTTGGTACCTTCAACTTTTGGATAGGTTTGCTTTCTTTCTTCCGCTGATTTCTTGTCTCTACAGCTAGACATGCATCACCATTCCAGTCTTCGTCCGGATCCTTCGGTTCTCGAGCACCTGGAATATTCCCAAGAACTACATCATAGATAGGATTATTCACACACAATGCTTCCACCTCACCAATGAAGAAGGGAGAGTCAAGCGTTACCTTAGCAACGGGGAACGTCCTCATAGTACGGTCTATCATGAGGCACCTCCTTTCTTCCCCAGCAAATTGGTCTGGCTTGATAAGTCCCATCTTCACAAATGTTGTGGAACATCCGCTATCCCTCAAGACTTTAACACGCGTGCCGTTGATGATCCCTTCTTTGACTGGCATAAGCTGGAGGGGTTTAGCTCCACCAGCAACACTAACTATCGGCAATGCCAACTCCGATTGTATCTCAGTGACTTCTCCTTCTCCATCTGTACATGAGAAACAAGAACATGCATTGACATCGTACATTTCCGACTCATGACGATTCACCCTTCTTTTATCCCGACCAGTCGACTCCGGGAGTGAATCTGTATCTCTGTCATGGACCTGTCTCTGAGGTTGCTTCGGCATGCTCGACGTCCTGTCCGATTCACTCTGAATCTCAGCTCCCGCAGCTGCAACCTCTTTCCTCTTCCGTTGCGTGCAATGCCTTGCCTGATGCCCTAGTTTCTCACAGATATAACAACCACCAGGACGGCTTTGCGACCTGTCTGATGGTTTCGAGCCTGCTGGTTTCGAGCCTGCTTGCAGAGGAGGAGAAGTGGGTTTAATGGTGTGTGACCTACCAGTCCCACCCTGCCATCCCGATCTTGCTTCTACAAAGCAGTCGGCAATCTCTATGACCTCCTTGAGTCCCTTCGGCTTTCGTTCCTTTATGAAAGTCTACATATCTTTCGAGCAAGTAGTGTAAAACTGCTCTATGAGGAACAGCTCCACTACATCGGTGAACGTCTTCTGGCGTCCCGACATCTCAATCCATTTATCAACATAACTCCTGAGCCTAATGATAAATTGCTCGGCTGTCTCACCCGAATCAGGTTTCGAACTCCGAAATTTCTTTCTGAAACCGTCACTAGTGAGCGAGTACCGCTGCAAAATCGCTGTCTTCACTACATTATAATCTTGAGCATCGTCTTCACTCAACCGGGAATAAGTGTCCAAGGCTTTTCCCGTTAACAGAGCACTTAAATTTACAGCCCAAACATTTGACGGCCACTTTTGCGCAACCGCATAACGTTCAAATCTAAGTAAATAAACATCTAATTTGTCTTTACCACAAACAAATGAGGGAAGTTTAGGGGGACGAATATTATGAGTACTGTTATTACTATCCTGGTTACCTCGTTGCTCAAGCTTTACACTTTCTATTTTCAACCTGATTTCTGCCAATTCTTTTTCCTCCTTCAATCGCCCACGCTCTTCTGCTCTCTTATCCCTCTCTCTGTCCTGTTCTACCTTTAAGAAATCCCTTAATTCAAAACCTGTGAGACCCAAAGATTCCCCAATTGTTACTAACTTTTCAACATCCATGTCAAACACTCACAGTCATTCACATGAGAACTTACCACCAGAGCCTGAAACAATTGAGCAGCGCGTGGAGATCGACGATGTGGAAGGTGAACGAGCACCAGTCACCAGGTATCCTACATGTACCTCCAGTTGATTACCTCTAACCTGTTATACAGTAGGTAACATAAAAAGAAAATATTATACAAAAACATATGCACACTATAAATATTAAATGCAAGTTCCAGAAATATCCTATAGTCGTTCAAATATTAGAAATCCCAGCTATAATATCACATCCTGTTGTAAACCTAACAATTTTAATTTTTTTTCCGCCGGTCCTGGCAAGGTCGCCAATTATTGTCAAGATTTTCCCCGGATATACAAAATAGCCAGACACTCTCATAAATGAGTTCTACAGACTGTTTATTGACAACTACATCAACATCTAAATTCATAGAAATCTGCTGTTACACAAATATTACATATACATACGGTCATTACTCCAATACCCACGAGTGTAGTCCCGTACAAGTTAATTTCCCAATTCATAAAAATCTGCTGTTACACAAATATTACAAATACGTACAGTCATTTAATGACTCCAATACCCACGAGTGTAGTCCCGTACAAGTTAACTTCCCAGTTTTTTAAGTGTCCGAAATCGAGACAATTGTCCGAATAAGGCGAAAGCCTTTTGCTTGGTATTTGCTATATCAGAAGATCAAAATACCGACATGGTTCCTACGACGATTCGATGCTTGGAGACTTGTGAAGGTTGATGTCCCGTAATCGCTCGTTACGGCAATCAGTCACGTGCTTCAAGATCCCGGATATAATGACTCGGCGATTCTTGGATGCTACTTCGACGATTCGATGCTTGGATGCTAATTCGACGATTCGATGCTTGGATGCTAATTCGACGACGCTCAGCGTGCTACTAGTTAGTAGTGAAGAACGTTCTTGTCCGCTCTTACGGAGTTATGTTGACAAAATTGTGCCAATGGCAGGAAAATCGAGGTTCTAGGCTACATGGAGGATACCTCTCGTACCGGTGTCGCCTGAGGAAAAAGACTGCTTGCGCCGAATAGAAACTTAAGGCTCTGGTAGCAACTTCCACAACACACATAAGGGTACATGTTCAAGACCTCTCACACGTCCAGTTACAACCTCCGTCTTCTAGTCAACTGCCCTGATTTAAATCCACACGTACACACCTTTAAGCATTCTCGGCACCACACCCTAATTTGCATAAATTCAGACAAGCGAAATATTTTCTATCACCAACGCCCTCTAATGTCTAGATTACCATGAAAATAGGAAAACAAATAAAATAAGAACAAATTTCCCATTTTACTCTGACAGTCATTGACCTTAATACGTCCAAAGAGATTGATACGTCTTGTTATCATTGAATTCCGAACAGGTTATTCTTTTCCTGTGACGTCGGGTATTAAATATTTGTATGCCTAATTTCCAGCATATAGCCAATGCCGGCCAGGGGATACCTATAATACGCCCAATAGACTATTACAAAGAAAATCGCTCGCTCGTTCTTTATGGGGATGATGAATTGAATATTGGTGAGCTAGTTAGCTACCCTTTTCTTAAATTTGTCATTTGAATGCCTACTCTTCAGCCTAATCATAATGAAATAAAAATTATTCTGTTATATTGTTGTCAATCATTATACAGTGCTATTTTCCTGTGACTTCGGCACAAGTATGAGTGAGTCGTTCTGTGGCATGGTGCAAAGTGTAAACAGAATAGACTATAACTGGAAGCTGGCCTCATCGTCTGAGAAAGCAGAGACTGGACCTTTGCATGATCACACAGGCAATCCAGGAGGAGCAGGTAATAGCGATGGTCCAAAACATTTAAATCGATTTTTTTTTAATGAAGCCTTGTAGATGTTGATACTCTCATAGTAAACAATAACTTTTGTTTGGATTGCAAAAGCACATTATCGGCAAATTCAAAGTACTTGGTTATTTCACGTCCCCATGCCTGCTTACGTTAGGCTAGGTTACGATATTATGTCTAAATATTGGCATAACATTTTCGGTCAAGTCAAAGTTCTCTAGGCTTGCAAATCAAATCAATCATCAGGTATATTATAAGGCTTCTTTTGAGATAGCAGATATAGGACCTCCACAGGATCACACAGGCAATGTAGGAGAGAGGGGTATTACATTTTATTTTTCTCTTTTGCCAACTAGATCAAGCAATTTGTATAGAACAAACCAAAAAACTGTGGTAGAAAAGGACATTGACCTGTCTAATGGAGTTTTAGTAGAAAAGTAACGTAAAAAAAAAAAAGCCAAATATTCAGAACTTTCATACATAATTGTATATCAATCTAATCGCCCTCACACCTAACTCATTACACCTCAGTCACACTACCAAAGCGACTCCACACTGACTGTACACCAACTGATTCGGGGGCATTCGCGGTATTGTATTGTTTTGGTTGGTCTGTCGTCGGTCCGTTGTTTGTTCGGTAGTATGAATGATGTATCATCAGGAAGTATTTGTGTCAATTCTCATCGGCAGGAAGGTTCTTATGGGCAGACTCATATAAAGGAGGTGGAGGTCAGAAGGCTACCATAGCAACCCCTCCATTCAATCTAATAGGTGATGAAGGGTGGCTAACATTCTGGTATCATTTATCTGGGGTAAGTATACACGTATGCATAGAAAGTTTAAAATCACCATGATCACTATCGGACGTGACTATCGCATCTCTTCCAATCAATATAAATGAGATGCGATGGGCTTGCTTTCCTTGTGAATGCTTTACATACGACAACGGATAGCCATAATATATTACTTGTTTTTTGTCAGAGAAATTTAATATTGGGAAGTAAATGACTTACCCCATAACTATGGTACCAGAAGGAAAGCCACACTAAACCATGGCTAGTAACTCCATGGATTTGTATAGTCACGGCGGGGATGCCGAAGCAGGGCTAGGGCATAACAAGCCCACTCGGCCTAATTGGAAATATTGCTCGAATCATACTTGAGAGCTAAATTGATCACAATTCGACAATCTTGCCAAGCAGTTGGGTTAACTTTTGCATTAAATACGTCTTTTACAATAACCTAATTAAAAACAATTTATGAGAATATGTAAAACAGTAATTGAAAACAATTTTTTTTGAAAACTTTAAGAGATCAAATTCTATACAACATGACATTTATTGCTATTTATTGTTTCGATGTGTAGCGGACACTCCATTTCGATACAATTTCATCCCCGCCCGAGATCCGGTTGGCCGACCCCTGGCACAACACACATACAGAGTAGGCAAATTTGTTAAGGGGCGGGGGGGGGGGGTTGGTGTCATGCTTCTCTTCCTATGTGTTTTTGTTTGTAATTTTGTATTGTTTGAAACCTAGGATGGAAAACTCGAGATCAGTCTTTGTCAAGATGGAGAGACAGTTCTCACATTTGTTGGAGATCAAGGAAACGAATGGCATGAACAGAACATCACAGTGTCATGTGGAGATAATCTAGTTCAGGTAATTTAAGCCAAGTGGGTCTAAAGATATCTTTAAATATTCGTAGCAACAGCAACAGCGAACATTATAACTTTGTTTACCAATCATGCCCATGAAAGCTTATTCCTGAGGGCCTTCAATTATTATTACCCCAGCAATTGCCAGGTTGGAGGTGGAAGAGAGATTAATATCTTGCCAAATGACAATAGTACCGGGGTTTATTCAAACCCTTAATCAAGTGAATGAACGTCTAAACACGGCAACTCCTATAATCACCTGTCTAATTAGTTTTAAATCCCAGAAAAACAAATTTCAAACAAGAAAAATCGATGAAGGAATAGTATGACTATTTGACGTGTGATAGTAATTATAAGCCATGTAGCAATCCGCTGTTTTATTCACAAAATCTCGTAAATAATAAGAATTTCAAAAATGGGTTATGTTTTACATTGTTTAATCGCACTTATATTTTGGCAAGCTAGCAATCTGGAATCATTGTTAAATTCATTTTAATACAAGCAATATACATTCATAGATTACATTCACGTCAACTGTGAGTTCATCATTGAGTGATGTGGGTGTTGATGATCTCTATCTCTACCACCATCTACCGAGTAAGTATGATGTCATGGAAACACACTCTTAGTATTTAGTTAGGACACATAAACAAATGATTCTGAATAGTCAGTATGATGATATATATAATGATATTCATTTTTTTTATTATGGGTTTTGACTTTCAAGTGGATTTAACGCCGTTTGAAATTAAGCTCTTCTTATATTTCGAATCAATATAAATTAATGCAATTAAAGCAAATTAATAATAAAGAGGCAAGCCAACAACTTAAATGCACCGCTAGGAGATGTTTACACATACATATTTGGGGCTCACTCATATAGGCCTATACATTATTTGATATAATACGTGAATTAGGATAGCGTTTACTATATTTTAATCATCCTTAATTAGTGTTTTTTTTTTCTGCAGAGGCAACCACTGGATCATTATCAACACCACGTCCTTCAAGCATGACAACGCCATCTTCTATTGCTACAACACCACATATTGCTATGTCATCCTCTATCGTTACATCATCGCATATGGTTCCACCATTCCAGACGACAGTCCAAAGCCCACTACCCTTTACTGAGCAGTTCAGTAAGTCTTACAAAGGTAATGGATGTATACTTGTTTAATGCATTTGATGCCGTGAAAGGGCACATGAAAATAATGTATTTTGTGTAGTGCTTCTTTCGTTGTAAAGCTTACAAACCCTGTATATTACAACTACACCTAAAGGACTTTTATTTAAGCTTCGCAACTTCTATTCTCTCATTTCCTCTGGCATTACGTATACATATAGTAAAGCATTGTGTTACAAACTGTAAATTGTCATTACACACATGATAATTTATGAACAATCTAGGCGATTGATGTATTTCAGTAATCTCTTTTAATTTCCATGTGCAGAGCTTGCGATAGGAGTCGGAGTCGTGGCATTGCTGCTGTTTGTGTTTGG